AGCACTTATCACCTGGGGAACTGAAATGCTATTTTTTTTTTTTTTTTTTTTTTTTTTTTAAAGACAAGGTCTTTCTATCATGTATATTATGTAGTTCTGGCTATTCTGCTATTCTGAACTTGCTATGTAGACCAGGCTGGCTTCAAACTCAGAGCTCTCCTGCCTCTGCCTGCCTCCTGAGTGCTGGGATCAAAGGTGAGCACCACCATTTCCAGCCCTGAAATGCTTTTGATAATGCTCAAATGATCACTTTCACTGAGCTCAGCCTGTGCCTCAATTTCTTAGAGTGTAAAAGAGTTTCTTTGGCAGAATTGGGGATTGCATATTCAGGGCACATACTTCAATACTGAACTTTTACTTTTCATTTTAGGTATGGTCTCACCAAGTTGCCCAAACTGGTCTTGAACTTGCTCTTTAACCCAAGAAGAGGCCTGAACTTTTGCTCCTCAGGAGCAGCTGGGATTATAAGTTTGTAGCACCAAGCTTTACTGGTGCCTTCATTTCTTAAAATGTAATATGCAACCACAGAACATTTTTCAGAGTTGTAAGGATTATTTATGAGCCATTCCATTAAAATACTTAGCACTAGGAAGTAAATGTACAAGTTACCTGAATAGAAGGAAATGATAGTAGTGAGGCCTTTTATCTATGGTTAGCTTTGTCTGCAGAGAATGGAAAAGTATGTAGCCTGTTGGTGAATTTGCTGCTTTGTGGTAATAATGGATTTTCCTAAAGCTGTTTCCCTCCGATCATTAATAATCCCTGCACAGTAAAGGGCTATTGTTCTTCAGTATGAGTAAATAACCCTGCTAGAGACACCGCTTATCTTCAGACCACAGTGCATGGTTCTTACTGGAAATATAATGCAGGTGCCAATACTAAGCTTTCCTTCCTATGTCTCTTCCTTTATCTCTTTCTGACTCTTTACAGTTGGTCGCTGCTCTTTTCTCCTAGAGCTTTTCTAGTCCCTGCTTTTTGTCAGACACTGGCTGGTATACTGAATGATTTTATTGTCACAACTGAACAAACTTCAAGTCAAACTGTGTCCTACAGGTCCCCAGTCCCTTGGCTTCCATCACACACACACACACACACACACACACACACACACACACACACACACACACACACACACACAGAGGACTATTTCCTGTCCTAGATTTAGTTTTTGGTTATTAGACTCTGAAGAGGGAAGTGATACCATACAGTTGTGCAATTCTCAGGATATGTTCATTCAGGGTACTTCATACCACGATTCTCTGAAAGCATTTTTTACACAAACATTACAAGAATATGGTGTATAAGAGATGACCCAGGGAAGGAGGTAGATAATACGTTTATCAAAGGGAAAATAAAATTAGGTTAGATACTGAAACATGGGAAGCCATCAGAACAAAGGGGAAATTCAAAATACCCATACCAGAAAGACTTCTAAAATAACTATCCCAAACAAAGCAATAGGAGGCAAACATGAATCCTAAAAGCAGATGTACTTTAACTTTCAGATTAGGTCCTGACTGGGAGTGGGCCTGGAAGCTGCTGACCAACACTGGGACTATTTCTAGCTCAGGAAAAGATATAAATTCAAAGTATAGTTTCTAGTAAATGTATCATTTTTTTTCACAACATTGAAAAGTTGAAATTATTTTAATGTTGGGAACCATCAGTGTATCATGACAGTACTGGAAGACACATCAAGATGATATGCATATATGAGACTGACCCAGAATTGCAAGATATATCCATCAACCAGTCAAGTTATACTTTCTTCTTCTAGGTAGAAATTCTAAGTGGAAATCAATTTATGGTTCTTCAATTAAAAATAAATGGGTATATTATCCCTCACCAGAAAGTTGCATCCTGAATGCTGTGATTATAGGTATGTGTCAGCATATTTTAAGAAACAAAGACAAAGATTAGCTAGAGGTATTCAAAACCAGTTACCCAAAGTCAGCTGTGAGAGATATATGGAAGGAGTGGGAACAAGCCAATGTGAGAGACTTATTCATCATTCTCCAGACAGTATCTTCAACCCTTCATAGCAAATAGGGAAGTCAGTGAGCCCAAACACTAATTTAAATTCCTGCTTTGTGACATTCTTCTAAAAGAAATGGGTTAGAAAACTGCAAAAAATGCTTTGGTGGATGCTGGGTGTGGTGTTCCGCACCTTTAATCCCAGGACTCAGGAGTTCAAGGCCAACTTTCTACAGAGCAAATGGTGGGACAGCCAAGGCTACAGAGAAAAACCCTGTCTTGAAACAAAACAAAAAAGGGCTTTGAGGACAACATTGGGCACAGCTGGAGATCTCTTGAATCTGACTCTATGTCCAACAGACAACAGAATTATGCATTGGGGACCATGCTTTCAGAACATTCTTCAAGGACTCTCTAGTTACCAAATGAACAACTTTATTTGTAGGGCCCAAGAACTCCTTATCAGACTGTCCAGGCAGCAGGAACAATGGCTGTCTGGCTTATGAGGAATAACTAGCACCCAGAAACCTTATATTATTTCAGTGCTTCAATCCAACATCGAACAAAAGAACCATGATAAAACTCTTCTTTTCTTCCCACCAGGGCAGAGACTAGCCACACATGTGGCTCCTCCACAACTGTAATATGTGTCTAAGGAACTGTTGTTTAAATTTAGTTACATGTGACTAGTAGCTACATGTGGATAGCAGTTTTCAAGTCAACTGCAAACCAAATGTCAGTTTGGGAGTGGGAGTAAGGAGAGATACTTCTGGTTGACTTGGAACATAAGACACAAAGGGCAAGCAACTCCAGCTTTGGCTGCTGCTGTGTAGGGATCTCTAGGAACTTCAGACTGTCCAATTTTCCAAATAAAGCCAAAAATCTGAATTTTGATGTTCAAGTTTTAAAAACTGGCAAGCAGATTTTTAAAAAAGTAAATCACACTGTGGACTGAACAATATGCTTGCAGGCATTATCTGTTTTTGCAAGCTTGCAACTTTTAATCTAGGCCAACCCTATCAGCTCGAAGAGGACCTTTTCCAAGGCCACCTATTAGTTGCAGATCCAAGAATGAAACCCAGGCCTTTTGACTCCTCCATCAAGATTCACTATAATGGTAATGTCACCTATAGCAGCAGGGACAAAATTCCCTTTCTAAGAATTCCAAGGCTGAGCAAAGTTGTGTGTGGTAGCCCATGCCTTTAATCCCAGCACTCAGGAGGCAGAGTCAGGTAGATCTCAGTGAGCTGGAGGTCAGCCTGATCAACAGAGCTAGTTCCAGGATAGCTAGGTATTCTAAGGTTGGTATCTTATAAGGTATTCCATATTAGGAGCCTCAAAGACACAAGGAAGAAACAGTCTTTTGGGAAGACAAACATGTAAACCAACATTTATCAAAACAGGTAATGCACACAGAATTACTTGTATACAAGTCAAAAAGCACAGATAGCTGAGAGAGCAGGAAGACTAGAGTAAGGCCTTCATGGGATGACTCACTGATTGTGAGGGTTGATCCTGTTGTTTAAGGATATTAAATGGTCTCCTCATCTTTGAGGTGTCACTCTTGTTGAGCTTCCTATTGGCTTCAACTCCTTCTGGGTGTTCTTTAAATGTGAGGAGACCCAAGGAATTTGTGAGCTTTACTGTCTACTGCCTATTCCTAACTCTAGGAATAAACCCTACATTTATTATGTCCACCAATGACTTTTCTTCCTGCTTGTTTACCTCATTTCTGGACGTCTTCATTGGGGTTGCAAAAGGACTTTTGACATATGTTCAAAGAACTTAGACTACTCCCTTTCAAACTGTTTTCTCTAGGTCGACACCTCTGGTGCCACCCTCTACCACACACTTCATATCCAAGCCAGCAGTCAGTCCAGCATGATCACACTCCCAAATATATTCCAAATCAATTTTCTTCATCCAACACCACTGTCACCTCTCCCATGACATCAGCAACAGCGTCTTAATAGCTTTAACTACCTTCTCCATCCAGCAGCAATTTTCAAAAATGTAAATAAGGTCTGATCAATCACTACCCTTCAGGAAGTAATAATGCAAAGGCTAAACCCTTGCTATTTCTGTAACTCCAAGAAAGCTTTCAATCTCTTCTACCTTTTGCTTTCAACGTGCTTTGGCACTTTTGTCGACCTAGACAATTGCTTTCTTTTTCCATTCTCTTTCCCTCTTAAACACCGGAGAGGCCGTCTCTCCACTCCATCCAGCCTTTGGGGCAGCTGCTATCTTCTGCGTTCATATACTTATCAATGAAAAGTTCAGGAACAAGGCTTCCTTTTCTCCTTTGCTCAAGTTAGTAATGAAGCTAGCTAGCCTTCATTGTCACCTGAAGTCTGATTCCTACATCCGGGTTCATTTGGGTGGCCCTTCTCAAGGCAGAAACCTCTCCAGCCTCCCAGAACTGTCCCTGCCGCCTTCCATTTACATTTATTAGTCTGAAGGGTCCCATGCCAGGGCTCGCCCACGTGCCACTTCCCTTAGGCAGGTCTCCCGAGGCCAGCAGCGATGACACCGAGCCGCCCTCGCGAGGCTGGGGTCACACAGGCGCGTCTCCTAGCAACCCCACACCCTCACCTCATCCCTGCCCCAGGGGAGCCAACCCCTTTCCCCAGTCCCCCGCGACTGGAGCTGGCGTCTCCATCCTTACACTCACTCTGCGTCAGTCCTGCCTTCCCCCACCCACAGGAGCCGGCTGGGAGGAGGCGGTGCCAGGAGCTCTGCCGAGCCTTGGCCACACCGAGCTCCATCCAGCAGGTCGGGTAGATCAGGCCGGGCCAAACCACCGGGCGGACTGCTGTGGGAGCATGAGGCCCAGGTCAGAGGTCGTCTCAAACCTCCTCAAACTTCCAGCCCTAGCCCACTCCCCGCCGCACTCAACAACAGCCAACCCCCCTCTCTTCCAGCTTTGCCTTCACTCTTTCGTTATCCCCTTCCCCCATTTCCAGTTAGAAAATGGCCCGGCCCAGCTCCTCCTAGCCCACCCTCCGCCGCTCCCCTCCTGCCCTTACTTGGAGACGGCTTCGGACGTCCTTGTGTACGTCATGACGTCACCGTCCTCGTTCCCGTCCCCGCCCCTCTCCCATTCTCTCCCTCCCGGAGCTAGCGGCCGGCGGGGTTACCGGAAGTGATGATGCAGGAGGCGATGGAGGGGGCGGGGCTTTGGGGCGGCCGCCGCCGGTGGGCCGCAGATGAGGAGGAGGCGGCGGCCGCGGTGGCAGAAAAGGCGGCGGCGGCGGGGGTAGGGAGCCTGGAAACGCAAGCGGGGATGGTAGGTGGTTTGGACCCGCCGGGCCGCCGTCGTTTCCAGACAGGGTTTGACTGGAGGAACCTCTGGAGCAGCTGTGAGTTTGGAGGGGGGGGGGGGAGGGAGTTGAGAAAAAGGGGGGAGCACTGAGAGATGAAGGGGCGGGGGTTCGGTTCCTTCGAGAAAGGGGGTGGTGGTGGAAGGGGAGGAGTGCAAATCAGCGCCTTGTCTGGACTGGTCCCTCTGGAAGAAGAGGCTGTGAGGGGAGCCTGTGGCGTGTCAAGCGCAAGGCTCAGAAAACTTACCTACTGTCCCTGCCTGCCCATCGCCAGCACCCCTCAATCCCGGGCCTGGGGACCTGGGACCGCAGATACGCGGGGAGGGGCTGCAGACTCTGAACTGAAAGTCCTGGGTAAGAGCCGTGAGGTAGGAGCCCAAGGGGGAGGTGGCGGTGAATCTCTCAGCTCCCTCCCTGATTTTCCTCCCCACCCCCATCTTTCTCTGTAATCGTTAACAGCCCTGGAATTAAGGGGCTCAGACCTGAAGGCCTTTCTGTGCACCTTTGCTATAAACGATAACCATCTGTGCCTGAGGTAATGGGGCTGGAGGCTTTGCCTGTATCCTGTTTAGGAAGTGGGACGGGGTGACAAATGTATTGTTTTTCCATCCCCACCTCTTATCCTCCTCCATTCACACCCCTGTTTCTACTTTAATTCTCTGCGGTTGAGTGCCAGTCGTGGTCATCCTCTCCCCTTTGTAGCACTTAGTACCTTGGTTACCTCTTTTGAATTTTGTGTTCAGCCTCTATCCCAGCTCTTAACTGCAAGCTTTGTAGTACTTCAGTTATGGTCTGTGTCACATTGGGGAGTACCTCACAACGCCGCCTGGCTCGTGATTATAATGAGCATTTTCTTTTATGAATACTGGAATTCCAGAGCTCTTGCAAGGAATCATAAATGGCATCATAGCCCAGGAATCAAGGTCTCTCGCTCTACATACTTTATGTGTGAGGAATTTACATGTTGTCAACTCTTTCCAAAAATGATTTGATGTTAGGCTAATTCTGGATATCTGTGTTTCTCTCCACCCACACTTCATAATGCACTTCTGAGAACAGAAAACCCCGTATTACTTTTTTTGTTTCTACAATTGGACAATAGCTCTTTTATCTCTTTCTTGATCTGTGTGTCTGGCACACTTGTCTTAAGTGACAATCAACTTGTGCTGATTTTTATCTTATTTAGCTAGTGGCCTTATAGGAGACAATGTGATGTGTAGTTTTGTTTTTAGCAGAATACAAATCTATAATTGTATGGGAATGTTTGATGAAAGAATAATTGGAAGAATCTCCTTTACATTGTTTAAAAAACAAATAAAAACCCTACCATGCAATAAATAGTGCCTCTTCTAGCCTGTTGTAAGGATTTCACAGTGACGTGTTAATGATTCTTGTTTTTTGATTGATATATTTAAAAAAAGAAACCCTCTGTTGATTATGGAACTGTCTTCTAAGAAACTATGCTTTATGAAATAGTGCTAAATTTTAGGGATTCTATGACTAGAAAGTGCATACATTTTGCTCAGTCACTGAATTTGATGTATAGTATCCTTAGGATAATCATAACAGATAGTCTTCTGATGCTGGGAAGAGAGTCCCATCATACTTATCGCCTTTGGGCCTGATAGAATACAATAGGGTTTTTTTTTTTTTTTTTTTTTTTTTTTTTGGTTTTTGGAGACAGGGTTTCTCTGTAGCTTCGGAGTCTGTCCTGGAACTATCTCTGTAGACCAGGCTGGCCTTGAACTCACAGAGATCCACCTGCCTCTGCCTCCAGAGTGCTGGGAAAAAAGGCGTGCACCACCAACACCCAGCTTAGGACACAATTCTTAATGCCTTATAGTATAAGTTATGGTGTTTAGATGGCTTACAGAAATAAAAGAATTACCTCTAGTCTCACTTTAATTCATTTGGAACCTAGTTTGCCATTGAATGAAAAGTCCAAAATTCATCCAATTAAGACTGGCTATTAAGTACTAGCCAGTGTTTCAAACACTGAGTGTACAAAGGTGAACACAAGCAGAAAGTCCACTCCCGTGGCGTTTATCAGAGTGGGATGTGGGACAGAGATAATAAGAAAATCTGATTCTGGTTAAATGCTGGAGAAAGTGAGTGATGGGATAGAAAGTGTGACTGGAATGCAGTGAAGGGAGAACTTCCTGAGGAGACACTTGAAACAGAACTTTACATGAAAAGGAGCCAGCCATGCAAAGATGGAGGGAGGACTCTTACTCTTGGAAGTTTAGGGAACAGCTCGTGCAGAAACTTGCTGGAATGAACTTGGCAAGTTCTAGGGACTGGGAGAAAGAGTGGGGGTGGAGTGTAAGTTTAGTGAGTAAAAGGTTGAATGAAATAGGGTCAGAGAAGTGGAGATAGACCCAGGTAGACAAATATGATTAAGGAGGAGGAAGAAACAGAAAAACTTTTTTTTTTTTTTTTTTTTTTTTTTTTTTTTGGTTAATTCTGTTGTCTTTCCTAGGACTTTTATCATTATTTTTGCAGGTTCTATTGGACTATTATAATTAAAAACAAAAGCAGCTCACCCAGCTGAGGGTAGAGAGGTGCAGTAGTGGTCACTTGGGCTATGTGTTTCGGAATAAGCAGGATGTTCAATTGAGGGCACACCTGTTCCCGTAAAATGTTTTGCTGTACATGCTGCTATTTAAAGTTCCGTAATAAGTACTCTGAATGTGTGCTAGTATTGACATCTCTCATCTCTGTGTAAACTTAAGGTTGAAGGATTGGGCATGTGTTAATAATATATATGTTCATCTACAATTGGCCATCTAGATCTAAGTTTCAGATTTTGTGTGTGTGTGTTCTTTTTTTTTTTTTTTTTTTTTGTGGGGAAGCAGCATTTGTGTTGCCAATATTCCGCTCTTGCCTGGGACTCCTGATGAGTAATAATATTCTGAGAGGTAAGTTGGTACTAAAAGTTCACTCTGGATCACATTAGATAAAGGACATTGTGGGGCCCAGTTCCACTATGTCACCATCTTTGGGTTGGCACGTAACTCAGGGATATAACCTACTTTTGCTTTCAGTTGGGGGCTCTCATCTCCAGTTCAACCTTTTCTTGGACAGATTGTCCACTTGAGAGGCTTAATCAAGACCTCACCTTGATTTGGCCCTCTTGAGCTGTATCACAGTAGGCTAAAATGGAAAGAAGTTTTTTTTTCCTTCTCAACTTCACAAAAGTGACAGGAGTATTCTTTGAGTGAATTAGTCTTTTGAGCCAGGCAGTTGAGAGACAATGTTGCTTAGACTGTTTGTGTAGTAAACTCATTATTATTATTATTATTATTATTATTATTTTGTTGCTTTGTTGTTTGTTTTTCAAGACAGAGATTCTCTGTGTAATAACCCTGGCTGTCCTGGAACTTACTCTTTAGACCAGGCTGGCCTGGAACTTGAGAGATCAGTCTGCCTCTGCTTCTTGAGTTCTGGGATTAAAGACATTTGCCATTACTGCTGGTTCAGTCTTATAAATGTTAAAAGAAACCTTTTGGTGTTTGGCAAAATCAAGTCAGAAATGGTGGATTTGGTTTAGGTTCTGGTTTTCTAATACTACATGCAGATGGCTCCTCAGAACTAACTTGAGTAGAGCTTTCTGTGTTGTTCTGGGTTAAAGAAGGGACCCAGCTTGTTATTGGAATGCTAACAGCAAGTAAATGCCTAATGTGAACTGTTAGGATCTGGCAAATGAGCGACTGATACAGGCACATACATATCTGTGACTTAGGCCCAGGTTAAAGAGCTTGCTAATGCTGGGCATGTGGTGCTCATTTGGTGTTAAGCAGTCTATATTCCTCTTCATTTCAATGGTTTATTACAAGTCAAGCTTGAAAATAATGTCTATGCTGACATTTCATCAGCCAGGTTAGAGTCTGCTTTTGGAAAGGGGATAGAGATAAGTAGGAGGGGACTTGGACATGGGGAGAAGCCTTTACTTAATCCCTACATTGACCAGTAATTGTGTTTGGGAAATGAATGTAAACTAAATGAATTTGGAGTCTTGGAACTGAGTTGGCCTTTTGACCTATGGTACCAGTCAGCTTGCTTCTTAAGGTTTGGGGGATTTTGGACACATTCCAGTGAAAGGTGTAAACCTAAAATCCAGCTGATGCCACTCGCCTTTGACATTGTGGGTAAGTTGTTTTGCATTGGGTTAGATGGCTTAAAGTTAATCTGATTTTACTACTGTCTTGATATGTGTTCTGTAGTAAGGAGAGTTAATTGTACACTGGCTGCCAGTTGTTTGAGGTGAAGAAGTAGTAACTCAGATTAAAACAGTGGTAATTATGTGGTGACTGCCATTTCCCTAACTCTTGATAACTTACAATTACTCTTTGTGTCGGTTTACAGATGTTCTTACCAGGGTACCAGGATCAGTTCTTCCTAATGTTGGAACCGTGTTCTTAGCTCTTTCCACAACAGACCAGGCTGATTGACTTTAGTGTCCTTCAGTTCAAATCTAGTGTCACTAGTTGTATCTGTTTTCCTAGGCAATGGAACGTTTTATTTATTTGTGGGCCGAAACTGAGATTTGAGTGAGAATAACACCAAAAAATGATGCAAACTGATTCTTTGGAGTTACACTATTTGAAAAGAGGGGGAAATGCCCAGTCTTTAAGATATATGCAAATGTGACCTTATTTAAACACCATAAGTTGGAACATGTGGATGATGACTTCTGCTTCCTTGAGAGTTTGGTCTTGTCCACTTCTTTGAGCTTTGTGGTTGGCTTTGGGGATGAGATATGGCATAGCAGCCCACATTGTATAGCAGTGTAAGCATCCTCATGTTCCCTTTCTGTCCTGCTGCACATTGCTGAAGCATTCAGTGTCAGGACCCAGGGACTGGAAATAATGCTGTCATTGAGATCATTAGATCTAGACCAGCTCTGATGATTGGCAGATCTCTGATAGCACTCTGCAGAGGGCAGAACTTCATTTTCAGGGGTGCTTAGCACCTTGTAACCATTGTTATTCTTTCTGCCTGTCAGTCCAGGAGACTGTGCTGGAGAGATCTGCTCCTTG